GAGAGAGAGCGAGAGAGGACACGTGCTTGTCAAGGGGCTGCCACTCTTGGAGGGTGAGTCCCACAGAACGGGGAGCCCAGAGCAGAAGCCAGGGTGGAACCAGCCACGCAGCCAAAGAGCGCAGGGCAGCACATGCTGCAACACCTGGGAGGTGGTGAGACGTGCCTTTAGCTCACCCCACAGTGAGTTCCTGGAACAGAATCCAAATCCAGATCCCAGACCATTTAGGTGCATCTTAAAATTTTAACAGTACAGAAATAAGTTACTGAAACTATGTAAGGGCGTGTCTTAATTTTGTTAAAGCTATATCAAGGCAAGCTAATCAGAGAAGAGAGGCATTGGGTGCTACGTACCGTTTTAAAGATGCCGAACCCTCCTTGTCAACCAAGAGAACTGTACCTCAAACCTGGCTTGTCAGTGGACTCAGCACAGCAGGGTACCCCACTAGGCAGCACTCACCATCGCACTGACCTACAGAGGAACCCCAAATCCTGCTGACAAATCCCAGTTGATACCTGGCTTATGGCTGGGGTTGCCATATTAGGCAGCATTTGAAGAATTTGGTCTGAGTCACATCGAGAAACAGGACTCTGAAAATGCTTCAAGTTCTCCCGAGCAGAGGACAGGTCCATCAAATGGGTTTACAAAGGAATTAAGGCCATTTACAAGGCAAATAAAAATTCAAATTTAAAAAAGGAGTCAAGATAAAAAGGCAATTAAAAAGTCAAAATAAAAGTTACAGTTGGTTGCAGGGTCGGTTCGGTGTAAGAATGTGTTGAGCTTCTCTTCACACGCACCCAGCCTAGACCTCCCAGTCTGCTGCCTGCCTGGCCTCACTTCTGTGTCCACTCCCGTCAGTTGCTCAACCTGCCTCCAGTCAGCTTTGTCCAGTCTCAGACCCACCCAAATACCTCAGTTTAAGAACTTTGGGTCACTGTGTACTACTTCTGTAAAGATTTCCGTGTATGTGTGTAGCCATTTATATGTTTTCAGACTTTTAGCCATATTGTGCCATATCTGACCAAACTTGACTCATAGCCATGGACAAATCATATGTGCCAATAAAATGCTGTCTTACATCTGCTCTGCAGGTAACCAGTAGTTTCCCTCCTCGGTGGTGAAAGCAGTTAAATGCTCGACTACTGGCCTAAAGTTTGGCAGTTCAAACGCACCCAGAGGCACCTCCGAGGCAGGGCCACCGATTCTGGATGGCGCAGCCTTGAAACCCCGAGGGAGCAGCTCTGCTTTGTCCGCGGGGGCGCAGCTCTCAGAATGAGCCCCAGGATGACCGACGATGGCAGAACGAGCCCTTGCTGTTTTCATTGCTCGTTCTCTCCTCTCTGTATGCACACGGGTGATTTCGAAACCTAACCGGTCTAATACCATTTCCCCCTCGTGTCTCCCAGCTGCAGACGGAACTGGAGCAAGAGTACCAAGACAAGTTTAAAAGGCTGCCCCTGGAGATTCTGGAGTTCGTGCAGGACGCCATGAAAGGGAAGATCCGCGAAGACGGTCATCACAGCTCTGCCCCTCCCTCCCAGGCCCCAGATCCTGTTAAACTGAACCACAGGGCTCTGTCCAGTGAGGAGCTGGAAGGAGAGAGCCCAGGAAAAGAGTTTGACACTTCTCTGTGACTGGACCTGCCCAGCCTTCCAAACACGCGGGGCTGGCTAGCTTCATCTGACGCACTCTCTGACCAGGATCACTGCCTGGGAACATCTTCCTGAGATGCATCCCTTCCCCTGCGTTCATCACAACGGGAACGTCTTGGGCGGACCCACACAGAGGTTCCCACAGCCAGGCTCCGGGCGCTCGATGGAAACTGTTACAGTCTACTAGTGAAAAGTGCATGCTTACGGGATCTGTGTTTTCTTTTCAAGGAGAAGTTCAAAGTAGGCCACTTCCGGGCTCCATGGAAGAGCTCACGAAGGACAATGTCTTCTTTGAAGAAATGAGGCTCGCACTTTTCTTTGCCACTCTGGTGTACAGTATTTCAAAGTAATAGGAATAGCTTGAGAAATGCGTAGCACGGTTGAACACTATTGAACAGATACCTTTGAGCATTTTTTGTTCCCAACTGCCCTTCAACTACCACATCTTCCAGTTAACAAGTATAGTAGAGGGTCTCACCCTATGCTTTCCAAGCACTGGTGGCTTGCAGATTGCTAATTTATTTATCATAGAGGCATCAGTGTATTTGTTACTGAGCTGGCTTTATTAGACACTGTAATGACTCAAATAAACTGGTCTCCTTAAAAAAAAATCACTAGATTATATCCATACCCAATGAAGCCATCCCAGATCTTGACAATATAGCTTATAAATTTGACTACATCAGCAAGTTGTCTGTCGGATCTGAGTTGACTATTTGCACTCAAAATCTGGGTACTCGTTGGTGGTTGGCCTGCACACATCATATCCCCACCCGAATCTGCTCTGTGGAATAGCAATAGTTGAGCTGATGCCTGTTGAGTAGAGGTTCGATCAGAGTGGACAAGCTCCACTGGTTATTTTGCTCCATTTATCCATTTATGTCCACTCCTAAAGATATACAGGCCCACATCTAAATGATACATTTGTCTTCATGGATGTATACACTCAGCCCTATGAGGGCATATACACACACAGCGCAATTGTGTGCTTGCTAATTGGCAATGACCCATTCTCCTCCACAAGACTTAAGAAGCAAAATTCAGGGATAAATGGGTAGAGAAGAAAAGGGTCAGACATCTAGATTCCATGGATATTAAATTTATTGACATACTAAGAAACATTTGATGGAGCCAGTGATGTAAGTTGAGGTAGAGTTGTAATATAGAATATGACTATTATATATATTTGCAGGATCAAAAATGTAATCCTAAGAACCAGCTTGTAAGCTTGTTTTCATGGTCAGAATGCACAAAAACATATAGAACAGCAATATGGAAATTTACTCATATTCACATATTCTATCATTTTTAAGTCAGCCAGATTTCAATTTTATTCTAACATGAAAAAAAAAATCTTCATTATATAGTTACTATATAGATTTATTTAACTTACTTGTGTCTGTTAAGTTTCTATTTTGGGTGGCATGAGAGAAACACATTCTATCATGGTAACACTGATCGAAACATGATTGTGAGGTCTTTAAGTAAGTAATGCTAATTAAATGGAAGAAAATAGAATTTAGAGAGTAACACACAAAACATTCAACTTAAGGCACACAAAGAAGTAAGATGCTCACAACTTTATCTTACTTAAAATAAACCTGTCTGCTGGGCAGTTGAAGAAAATATGATAAAACTCAAAATAGCTGTGTTCTGAAAATTGTGTTTGAATCATTTTATATTCTTAGGAAAGTTATATTATTTAAATTTAAGCAATAACTAGATATCACAACCAAAATGAAAGTTTAGTTCAAACGTCAGGAAAGAGCGTTTGATTTCTTTTTTTAATTTCAAGGAAACAAACACAAGGGGAAAATCAGATCCCCTTTGGAGATTATTATATTTTGATCTGAGAGGTTGAGGGTGTTAATTAGACATTTAGTAAAACTTAACTTCCACTGAGAGGAAAATCTTTGGTAAATGATTCGGCTTTTGCACTTTGGAAGAAAGTAGAGAGGCAAGAAGAGTCAGAATTGAATGCTGCATTTTATAAACCAAATTCCAGACTGTCTAAAATTGCCGAAGAATGGACCCACACTAGAGACCCACACTAGTATTCATAACCAAACACCACGGTGAGTATCACAGAGCATTGTTTCACATTCTCGTCCCGAGCTCGCCTGACGTTAGTAACTTTGATGGACACAAAGCTGTTTAGGCAGTTGGATTCCCTTCTCATAGTGACTTTAGTCATTTCACGATATGTTTGTATTTGGCCATTTACTGTAATCACATTTTTATATCTGTACAATGACACTTTTGGCAGTTGTGGGGGTTGTGTGTAACACTGCCCATCTTGCATCATTGAAACTACTTAAGTGATACTATCATTTAATAATATTAATATTACTTGAAATAGATTAAGGTAATGAAAAAAGGGTCTATATGATGTGCAGTTTTGTGCCTTTATGGACTTGCCTTGTTCTTTGTTGAATGTGTGAACTTATGTACTGTGGTTTCTCCTATACTAGAGAGCAGAGCTGTGTATTAAACTAGACTGTCGCCCCTCTGACACTTTTACACTACTGAGAACAGCATGGTCTTGGCTGTGGAAACCAATTTCCCGAATTCTAATGACATGCCATGTTTTTTTTAACGACATTTTCATTGTCACCCTACATTAAGTAATACTCCTGTAGTAGATAAGCAGATGCTAAATCATTCCAAAAGAAAGGGCCATTGCTTGCTATACTTTGAATTTAATGTTGTGCTTGTGTGCAGTATTAATATTGTTTGTGATGGATTGGACATTGTGACTTTTGTCTTTTAAGAGGAAAAAAAAAAGATAGGACAAAGTGTTTGAAGCTCTTAAACTGTACATACCTTGGTTCTTCTATCTCAAATTCTTTAAAATGCATAATTCACATTTTTGTAATAATTCTATGCAATTTTGTGGCATGATGTTTCTTCCACTTGTAATTTTATGTGCTTTCATCACAAATCCAAGGGAGACAATAAAAATTTCTTAACACAGACAAGCTGTTATTTCTTAGTCTCAGAGCCAACCTTCTTGTAAGGGGGCAGTAGGCTGGGAGCACGCTTAATACCAGTCTTTAAGATCTAATGCCAACCCTGACCAAGCCCCTCTGTGCCTGGGGAGGAAACAGGAAGATTGCAGTGCTCTATCAGAGGGCACACGTGGCATTACTCTGTCGTTCCACCGCCGTTTAGAAATGACATCGCACTTGCCCACTGCTCCCGTCCTGGGGACCCTCCCTCCCTTCCCCCTTTCCTCTTCCTCCCTTAACCAGAGCTAAGCAAACCGGCTGGTTTTCAGAAGCTTTTTGACAAACCGTGGCAATCACAGGGGCCGAAAGGGCATTTTCTGTTAAACTTAATTAATCAACAGATTTTTAAAAACTGCAACATTGAAGAAAGGGAGAAAAAAAAAGTGTGATTTCTCTCAGAATGTCCTGTGAGTATCCCAAAGGCAGTTTACAGTATTTGTTGCTGCACAACAAATGACCCCAAAACCTAGGGTGAAAGGCAGTACGAAATCTTACCTCTTGGATTTTCTGTGGGGCAGGAATTCTGACCAGGTGCAGTGGAAACGTTGCTCTGTCTCCGCTCCAGCGCTCAGAGGTCCGCGGGCATAGATGAGAAGTCTGTAGCTGGCATCGTCTCTAAAGGCTCATTACTTGCAGAGCTGGTGGTTGATAAGGGGCTGTCCCTGAAGGTTTCATTGGGTCTCTGCGCTTGACCACCCACAGGTCCACTTTGCACATCCCAAGATGATGGCTGATTTCAGGAATGAACTAGAAAGAGCCAGACCGAAGCTGTAGCAAATAGTTATCACCAAGCTGTGGACGTTACATACATGCTATCCCTTAGGCCAGACGCCCATCATCCGTGCTGCCCATGGGGGGACGCCACTGCAGACCCCCTTCCCAATTCAAGTGCAGGGACCTCATACAAAACCTGTCTGCGGACACAAGGGAGGACCCTTCAAGAAGAACATGAGGGAGGGATGGAATAAAAATATATGCATGGTGGCCTTTGGAAAATACAAGCAGACACATCACCAGCCTCTCTGCAGAGGAAAGATGTGACTGCGCTTCCCTAAAGATTTGCATTCGCTGAACACCCCCACCCCCCCAGCCGTTCTCCTTAGTTGTATAGTGTTGCTAGGAGCTGAATCGACTCGGTGACAGTAGGTATTCTACTGGTGCTTGGCATCCTCAGAATAAAATCTAAAACACTCCATACTTGTTCCATGTTGTATGATTTTGCTTCTATAGATTGTTCTAACGTCGTCTCTTAATATTCCTCTCACATAGTGTACTCCAGCCTCTTGGATTACCCCACCTTCTGAACTTCATAAGCATTTGACTATTTCAACCCTTCCTTTCTGTTTCTGTTTCTCTCGGACCCCTCCACAAAACGTGCGCGCGCGCACACACACACACACGGTTTCCTCCTTGCCATAGCTAATTTCCATTCCTCTTTCACGGATGAAACCCCCTCTAAAAAGCCTATTGTAATCCCCCAGGCTTCTGGTAGGTCCCGCGAGTTTGCTCTCCTTACAGCATGTATTAGGTAGCTGCATGACAACACCAGAACTTAGTGTTTTCAAACAATAACCATCTATCAGGGGCCTTCCAAAAGTTTGGTGAAACTTTTCGTTATCTTTAAATTCCCCTTTCCTTACATTTCGAAGCCCCCTCATATACTGGCCAGGAGTCAGTGGGTCAGCCGAGGACTGGGGCTCACCTGATCTCAACTGGACTCATTCACAGGGTCGCAGGCGCAGTCAGCTGGGTGGCGGCTGGTCCTGGCTGAGTTCGCTCACACATCTGGAGCCTAGGCCGGCAGAAATGAACTGACATGCTTCTTCATCGCATGACTTCTTATCCTCACGCAGACGTTACCATGGAACTAGTTGCCACCATGTGGATTCGGACTCATGACCACCCCGTTCGTGGGAGCCGAGATGCTCCAAAGGGTTTTCAAGACAGTAACCTTTCAAAATCAGATCCCTGGTCTGTCTTCCAAGGTGCCTCTGGGCAGGTGCGAGCTGCCAAACTTTTATCTAATAATTGAACACCTAACTGCTTGTGCCACCAGGGGTAGTCTTTGTTTGCTTTTTCTCATGTCAGAGGCAGGGTTCTGAGAACAAGCAAACACAGTCTCTTGAAGTCAAAACTCAAAAGATGTCATAGCATTGCTTTTGCCACATCCTCTTCACAAATTGCACATAGAAGGCCAAGCCAGCTAAAGAGTAGGAGTATTATTAATAGCAAAGATGCCTGTCACTTTGATGATGAATATGTTCCTGACTCTAGTTATGTTACTTTTGATTGCCTCTTATCCATGTGAAAGCTGTAAAGTCAAAAAGAATATTGGAAAAGAATTGATGCGTTGGAATTACAGTATTGGACAAGTGGGACAAATGGTGAGATAGAATATTCTTTTCTGAACTGGATGAAAGAAAGAGACGTCAGAGATATATTTAGAGTATAGATGCTATAGTGTTCCTGAGAGAGAAATATTATCTTATAATGCAAAACACACACAAAAAACAAAAAACCCACAACCCCAGGTGGGGCACAGTCAATGATGGCAAATTCCACTTGAACACCCTCTAGAAATTCCCATATACTAGTGGGGAATGGAAACAATCAGAGAATTCCAGGACTCCCAGGGGTGGCACAGATGAAGCAGAGAGAACACTGGATATAAATGGGTCCGGAAGACCAAAACAAAGCAGGAAAATGAGTGTCTCATCTACATAGAAAGATGGCATTTAGGGTCATGTGGGTCCAAGCCCTGGCATACTTTAGCACTAATATATGAGGGATTCCAAAAAGATGGGGAAAGGCTCCACTGTGCATAGCTTTCATAGTGCACATTTTTCATTTTTCAACTCACCGAGTTAGTGCACCCAGTGCTCTCACCTGGGAAGGTTCTCTCTGGTCACAATGAATTTTTCATAAGTTTCCCTTAAACCTCGTTTTTTGTGATGACTGATTTAAGAGAACAGCATGCAGCTGTGAAATTGTGTTCCCTGCTTGGGAAAAGTGCCATAGCAACTGTTGTGATGTTGAACACAGCACTATGGGATAAACTGAAGTGCCCGAGTGGTTTGATCCTTTCAAAAAAGGTGAAATGTCAATTGATGACAAACCTTCTTCTGGATGTCCAACAACTTCCCAAACGGATGATAATCTGACTTGTAGTGCATTTGGAGTTCATTCCACCAGGTCAGACTGTTAATTAAGCTTTCTAGAGGATCTGAAAAGATTGTGTAACAGTGTGTGACAAAAAAGACCTGATTTGTGGCAGATAGTGGACTGCTTTTGCCACCACCACACTGCACCTGCTTATGCAGCCATCTCAGTGCACCAGTTTTTGGCAAAAAAAACCCAGCATGCTCTCTTGCCCCTCACCCCGCCACCCCCCCACACACACACACACACCTTACTCACCTGACCTCACTCTGTGTGACTTCTTTTTGTTTCTGAGAATGAAGAGGAACATGAAAGGACAGTGATTTGAGGACATAGAAGAGGTGAAGAAAAAAATGAGGGAGGGGCTGTCAGCCATGTAAACAGATGAGTTTGAAAAATGTTTCCAAGAATGGAATCACAGATTTGACCAATGTATTGAGTGTAATGGAGAGTACTTTCAAAGTGATAAAGTTGCTTTGTAAAACAAATTTAAATACATAGCTTTGAAAAGAAATCTGGATATTTTGGGGTACTCCCTCATAATATTGTGCTGTTGAAAATGAAACAAGCTCACTGCCAGGGAGTAATTTGTACCATTGAGATATTTGGCTTTATTGAAACAGGTGATGTTGTAAAAGAGATATTGTAACGCTCGCTCTTTTTAAGGGTTAGCTACAAGCTTTGTAGCCTAGAGATGACATGAGTTTCACAACCAAGGACAAAAATGGTAAAGACATTCCAACAAATGTCCAACTATTGCCTCAAGGAACAATCATTGTTGAAGACGATCAGCACTGAACATTTTGAAGGAAGTGTAATCAAAGTTCTCCCAATAGGACCAGTAGAAATCAGAATGATTCATTGCCTGGATGGATCAACATTTGTGATTCCTAAAAAACTTCCCTGTGGAAACAAAGACAACATCCAAGATGACACTGCTGGAAGGTGACCACGTTACGTTAAATATTTCAAAGAACAAATGTGACAAATTAGAGCAAGTAATATAGAAGTTCTATCAAATACATTTCCGTTTACTACCAAAGCCCAAGAGATGACGTGATTGCTACCATGAGAGATAGTTTGGATTTATCAAGTGGGTAGATTGTGATCCTTCTATGTTCTTCCACTTTAGTAAAATTTTGGATGGAAACCAGCTCTATTTTGCAAATGAAATAGAGTTTACTGTAATTTCTGATAAGCCCTCTGCCCAAAGCAATCAGGTTATTATGATTTAAAAACTTTCCAAGTGCACAGTTTTGTCCCACGCCCATTCAGCTCATTGTTTCCTGAGCACTAGAGAAGATAAAGTCACTGTTCTCAGTCCCCAAACACTAGCGTGATAAAGGCCAAGAGAATGAGACTGGGATGGTTATTGCCTGTGGTGATTGTGGAGTGGGACTACTATTGCTCTTGAAACAGAATGCGGCTCTACGTCTCATATAAGAGATAAAGTTCAATTTAACATCAGTGACAAACAGCAGCCTGGTCTGTAGGTTGCAATTTGTTTGGAACTAGGGTCTTGCATTATGTGGAAATACCGAGTGATAATTTGGATTTAATGAAATAGCCAAGCATATCCATTTAAGTCTTTTCCCATTCTGGTGAGTTCTCTGGTGATGTTGATGGCCTGGCGATATGGTCAAAATCGTTTTTCCAAAGACGAAAGCAAGAAAGTGAATATAGCACCCTTTGGGAGGGGTATTATTGAGGAAGTTTGTCCTATCATTTACTCTGATAAGGTAATTATCCCTCCTCCCAAAGAGTGTTGATTAAGTACAGAATAAGTACCCAGGGATGACGGAGATTGTGGGAGGAAGGGATATGAGCCGTGACACATATCCATTTGGCATCGCTGGGATGGTCAAACAAAGGGAAGTGCCTGCAGATAGGAGAGTGTCAAATTTCAGTTGTGTATCCTATGCCAAAATGCACAAATTATGGCCTACAACATTACATCCCTGCGTAGAGTTGAAGTGGAGCGTGTCAAAGATCAGTTTGGCCTTGTCAACTACAAAGTAGGAGAGAGCCAGGTACTCATTTTCCACATGACAGAAATTCAGGATGATACTGAGATGGAGTTCTCAGTCATTCTGCATCTCTGTACTGGCAAACGCAGGCTCCATCATGTTTAACAAGTCAGGCTGAAGAAGAGTTTGACTGATCAGTCACTTCAAGGCCATCACCTTGGATTATGCCAGTACTTCTCACTCCCAATGGTTCGCCATCAGCAAAAGGGACCATATCATTCAATGGGATTTGGTACCCATAAAATAAAAAAGAGGGCCATCAAGCTGATGGCATTAATGAATCACATCCACATAGCACATCATTAATCCACTATGATCAAGTTGGGAGATTTTGATCTTGAGTTCTGAACATCTCCTTCTGTATACTTCCCCAAATCTGGAATGCTTATTCTATTGAGCTGTTATGCCAGATTTAACAACTGTCTTGTGTTTTGTTTGAACAAATAAATAAATTTAAGACAATTTTAAAATTATGTAGATTAGAAAACAAGGTGGTACCTTATAGTATCAATTTTTTTAGCTTTATTTGGCGCACTTAATGCAAATGGTAAATGCAAGATCCACTTCGCCTGTTTAAGTGATAAATATAGACTGCTCTCTTGTTGGCCCCATGAAATTCTGCTCGGCTTTTTTTACTTCTGGAAAGATATTCTGTCTTAGCATTCAACTGCATCCTTTTCCATACTTTTCCTGTCCATTATGCTTTGAATCTGAGGACATGAAAATAGACTGCATTACCTTTTTAAAATTACCAAATTTGATAAAGACAAGCCATTTTCTTAAGTCGGTGGACAAATGTTAAAATATTATTTTTCATATCATTTAAAAATTTTTAAATTACTAAAAAACACAAGTTCAAATACTTGTACATGAATGTTCATCACAGCACTTTTTTAAAGCTGTCATTTTTTAAATTTCTAGATATTTTAATTGGTATTTTTAAATAATTTGTGTCACTTTTTCATACTTTATTAATCTCTAAATATTATTTTACATGTACTTTTTCCTTCATGTAGACTTTTAAATGATCTCCATCATAAATGATCTCCTTCATAAATTGATTTCTGCCTGTTTTGCTTATGCTGTTTTACTTCCATGTGTGCCGAATTGTTATTTTTACTGAAACACGTATTTTTCTTTACAAATTATGTATGGGCAATCTTAAGAGCTTGGAGATAACTTTTGATGGAGAGGAACTGGTGTTTCTTTCTACATAGAGAATATGGGATTATCCCATCTTAATCTCTTTAGCTTTTTAAATCTTTTTCTTTTCTTTTTTAGCTCTTAAAGTGTGTGACTGCCCCTTTTTTCTCAGGAGGTCAGTTTACATATACTCTCTTGTAAGAGTCTCCTATCTGAGAAAAAAAATGACACTTTCCTTGAAAATTTTGTAATAAATACAGAGTTGAATTACTTTGGGTTCTCATTTATTTTAAGGTTGAACCCTATGGGGTGTAAGCTTAATGGGTGAAGGGCCTTCTTTTAGGTTCTGTTTTTAATTGACTCTTGAGATTTCATTTTCATTTCTCTTATCCAGTGAGACCATGAAAATACAAGTTCAAAGTTTCCTAGATGGATACATAGTCTCAGGGCAAAATTGACTTCAGTGTTCTATTTAGGTCTCTGGATTCCAATTTTCCCTTAGATTTTGACCTAATAATTCCTGTCTTGTCCTATCTTCATTGCCTTTAAGACAAGGCTTTTGTTTTGACTTTGCCTAGCATTTTAACTATTGTTTACAAAAAGAGTATTCCGTTATTGAGTCTATTCTGAAATTTTATAATTATTTTAGAAAACATCCTTGATGTTACCTTGCTCAGGGTTTGTATCATAAAAATTTACTGTCAATTTCATAGAAATAGTTGCCAAAGTCTAAAATTGAAATGACTCGTGTATTAGTTGGGCACATCCCATAGCCTTGCTCACATATCCCAGTTGGAAGTACAAACATATGAGAAAATATCAAATGTGGACAAGCAAAACTCTCTGCAAAACCGTCAAGTTGTCAAATATACGTATCATATCCTGGAAGCTAAATTTAGCACTCAAAGCTCCAATTTCTCTCTGATATGTGTAAAATCTCATCTACCCTGACCATTCCCTGTTGGCTGCACCTCTGAGAAGTCAATCTACTCAAAGACAATTTTAATTTATGCCTCCTAAATTACTCCTGAATTCCTTATCTGGTTTTTTAAATAGAAGATGTAAAATCAAAATTAAGGTCTAATGTCTTCCAGGATAGCAATATAATACCTAATTCCGAGTCACTAATTTTCCTAAGG